GGGGTACAGCTGTGCCTTGTGCACCTTTGCCCGCAGCCGTGGGCAAGCCTGGCTCCCTGGAGCGGGGAGGGGGCTCGCCCCAGCCGCCTGATCACTGTGATACAAGAGCGGGGATCTGCAGGCACGGAGGAGACCTGGGGGTGGCACATCCCAAACAATCCCCATCCCCATGGGACTTGCGACTGCGGAAGCCACTTCCCATCCCTAAGCTGGTTTTAAGAAGGCCTGAATTTAAAAGAAGGGGCAAGCTGCGCCCTGCATGGGCTTGCCAGAGGTAGGAGGAGGGTTGTGCGAGATGGAGGGGAGCAGGGTGCCTTGCACTCTCAGCTTGAGGGCAGCGAAGGTGAGGAGTCTCGGAGTTGGGCGCAGCGAGCGGTAGAGGAGAGGGGGAAGCAAGGTCTTTATGCTGGGGTTCTGCTGTGTCTTACTTCCCTTTCTGGTCTCTTTTCAGGGTTTTGTATGGGGTTTTTCTTTGCAGATCTTGTTTGGTTCTTGAACAGACTTGTATATATTTTCAGTGCAAAATTCTGTAAATGGAAGAAAACACAAACAAAAAGATTTAAAATGAAACGCCCGGCGCGAAGAATCTGCTGTATTTATGGGAAATAAAGAGTTCTTTCCTGATCCTGGCCTTCTGACCTAAGGAATGCATTTCCCCCTCACCTTCCCTGATCCCCAAGGAGCTGTTTCCACCCTGCAAGGGGTCATTTCCAGCTCAAATCCTACCCCTGCAATCCCGTGATTCATCCCCCAGTCACTTGGGGCTTTGCCACGATGATTTCCCCCGTTTCCCGTGAGGAGGGAGAGGGGGTGGTGGAAGTCCCCCAGCCGCTCTCAATTCCTGTTTGAGAGCAGAGTCACTTCCAGGCTGTGAGCTGGGTGCTGCCTGCTCCTTTCCCTCCCTGGGAGAGGCGATGGGCAGAGGTCAGTGCCCCACAACCCAAGGGGAGCAGGGTTTGAGCTGGCTTCCGTGCCCCGCATGGCCGTTTGCAGCTTCACCGCCGCCTTCACTTCCTCCTCTTCCTCAGGGGCTGCCTCTCGGAAGTGGCTTTGTGGGTCAATGGTATTGCGGGGGTGCAAAGAGGGGGGACCTGCTCTGGCAAGCAGCAGCTTGGGGCTGGGAGCAGCTCTCTTGACCTTGCATGGGAGGAAAGCGACCACGGCTTGGCCACCACCTGATGCAGCCAGCGAGGGTCTGAGGGGGCTTTTCTGTGTCTTTGCAATAGGTGCTTGAAGCCCTTGCCTGCTTTTGGCAACCACAATGCCTGTTAGGAGCATCCACAGGGCTCAGGGCTGGGGGATCAGATGTGCTTGGCCGTGGGTTTAGAGCAACCTGGTGTTTTGGGCAGGGAGAGCGGTGCTCCTTTGCCCAGTCCTCGCTTGAAAACAGCCACCAGCACCACTTTGCTATGCACTCGCTGGAGACCTGCTCACCCCCACCAAGGAGCAGAGCCCAGCAGCCTCCAAATTATTACTCCTCAAGCTTCGGGGTAAAGGTGGAGTGGCCCTTCCACCTCTTTTTTCCTTTGCTGCTCGTCTCATCTGCCCACAAGCTGACCGCTTCCCGTCTGGGCTGGGGTGCTAGTTCCTTTGCCAGCCATATAACCCAGCCAACAGCAACCCCTGCTCTTTGGTGGTGCAGAAGAAGGAAAGTCCCAGCTGCAGGTAGCCAGAAATAAGGCGAGGTTTACATCTCATAGAGCCAGGAGCGAAGGTGGTGGTGGTATGAGGGGGATGTTTTTAGAAAAGAAAAAAAAAAAACACACACAGAGCAAACAAGCTGAGCCCTGGTGCAGCTCTGCAGAGAGCAAGCAACACCCGAGCCTGGGAACCGGGAGTTTGTGGTCTCCGTGCAATTGTGTGCGGGTGCTGTTGCTCTGCACTTGGCCCAGCTGCCCTGCTCGGGGGGAGCTCTGCCAGCTTTGGGGGAGCAGGGGGGAAGGCCCCCCTCCCCGCACTCCCAAGGGCACAGGGGAACAGCCCTTGGTCGCAGCTTTGCGGTGGCTCCGGAGAGCATCGGCAACGGCAGGGAGGGAAAGGGGGCTGGGGGGTGCAGAAGGGGTTGTAGGGGTGGCTTTGCTGCTCGTCCTTCTGCTTTTGTCACGAGGAGGGGGATATGTCGCAGGGGGAAGAGGATGGAGCTGCATCCATGAGCACGGAGAGGTGCCTGAGGGGTGTTGGCAGAATTTGGGTGACGAGGGAGGGCAGGGTGTACGTCAGGCACCTTGTACGCACCGCACGGGCAGCTGGTGGTGGGCAAGGCAAGGGGGAGAAAAAACCCACCCTGGCTGAGACAGAGAGCAAGAACTAGAGCGTGGGCCCTTCGCTTGGGCTCAGCAGCGGCGTGTACTTGTCCTGCCTTGTTACGTGTTTGCTGTAATAATATTTCCCCTTTAAGGCTGGGCTGAAGTTATTTATACTTGTGGGGTGGTGACAGGAACACAGAGCGGAGCAGGAGCCCTGAACTGCTCTTACCTGATCTGCGGCAGAGGGGCAGACCGAGGAGGAAGGAAGCTCAGAAAAGGAGAGGGAGCCCGAGAAGGGAGTCCAAGGGAGGGGAAGAGAAAGCAGGCAGGGCATCCCCGGGGAGGGACGAGGGAGGGGACCAGCTAGGGAAACACAAAAAGGGGGAACGAGGGAAGGAGGAAGAGTGGAGTAAGGAGGGAGAGGTCCTCAGGGAAAAGCAAGGGGCAGAGTGGCTCTGGGGAGCCAAGGGGCTACCAGCACCCGATGCCAAGCGTCGCCGAGGGGTGCTGAGCGGGTACAGCTGAGCAGAGCGGCTCTCGTCGTCTCCTCCCGGCTCTCAAGATGATGAAAAGGCAGTTTCATCGGATGCGGCAGCAGCTGTCCCATCCCAACATCACCAGGTAAGGACTTCTCCGCTACCTATACCAGAGGGCTGGGAGGGAGAAGGATGCAGGTCCTGGAGGGCTTGTGCCAGGGCTGGACTGACCTCCCAGGGCCGGTGGCCAGGGAAAAGGGGAAAGAGGGGACTGACCCTGGGTTCAGAGCATCTTCAGCGTAAGCCAAGGGGCTGTGGGAAGTTTGCACTGATGCTGCTCCGCAGCAACGTGATCCCCAAGCCCAGCTACCTCTCCGAGGGCCCACAGATGCTGCATCCACCTGGAAACGGATCTTTCCCGAGCTTGGCTTCCCCAGGATGTGAGGGCAATAGGGAGGGACCTTCCAGCCACATGCCCTTGGCTGTGTAGTGACCAGGAGGCTGTTAGGAGCTGCCCCGCTGAGCCTAGGGTGCCCCACGGGAGCCAGATGCCCTGCGTAGCTGTAGCCAGCCCCACAGCGCAGGCATCCTGGGATGCCCTTTGAGGGGAGGACCGGGGATCCTCGGAGGACCCATGGAGGACTTACAGCTTCACACAAATCCCTCTGGCCCCATCCTACCTCTGCTGCTTCCTTATTTTTCTCTTCGGCTTTCCAAAGCTCTCCCCTTGCAAAACCCAGAACTGAAATTACAGGGTTGGGCCCTCCCTTCCCAGCCCCCTCGCTCCCTCTTTCCTACAGCCACCTCCGCAGATTCCCCAGCGCTAGGAGGCTGAGCAGGACCAACCATCTCCCCTGGACCACTGAGGTCCTTCAGCCAGCCCCGCAGACCGGCCACAGGGCAGCAACTCCTACATCCTGGTGGCTTTTTGCTCTTCTTGCATTCCCCAGAGGGGAGCACGATCCCCTTTCCCATTCCTCCTCCCTCAAGATGTCTCATCTTCATTTAGATGAACCTCCCTCCTGTTTAATGCCGGGCAGGCAGGAGGTCTCAAGCAGGTCGTGCAGTCCAAGACCAAGCTCTTCACCCGCTGCAGGGCCTCTCCGTCGCGGGCCACGATCTCACGTGATTTTGCTTGCCTTCAACCAAGCCACCCCCGTTTCCTGCAGCTCCACGGCCTCGTCCCACATCGGCTTTGGCGGGTGGTGAAAAAAAGAGAGAAACATGGACTGGGGAAAAAGCAGCAGCAGCAGAGGGAAAGCAAACGGGGTTCCCGGGGCATAGCAACGGCACCAGGCCGTGAAGCAAGGTTTCCTCGATGGGAGCCATCAGGGAAGTTTGGTGGTGATGGTGGCTGGCAAGTTTTGAATTTGGTTTTGAGCAGAATTTGCTGCAAACCAGAAGTTTCCTTTGCCAGATTCACTCCTAATACCTGCTGCAAAACCGAGCAGAGAGCTAGTTTCATGTAGGCATTTCTGGAGGGGCTGGCGTTGGTCTCAGCCTCCAGCTTGACCACAAAGATATCCTTGCGCTGGCACCAGTGCTCCCACAGCTGGGGGCTACCCTGGCCTGTAAAGACACGTGCCGGGCTCCAACAGCACTGCCCTGGATTTGCCTTCAGGGGAGAGGTGGGCGGTCAGGGGTAGAAGGTTTCACCAGCAAACATCCCACTCCTGCCATGGTCCCACAAGGCACCCTGTCTCCCAAAAAACAGGCCACATCTGGACATTTTGATTGTGGTGCTTCGAACTGGAAACCCTGTCTGATGGGGTGTCCACCAGCCAGCAAAGTTGGCTGCCTTGCCCTGCTCCTGCTGTTCTCATCCCCTCGGGCTCATTCTGCCTGTAGCCTTGTGTACAATGGTCCAGGTCATAGCCAGCATCTCCTGCTCCCTGGACCCCAAAGAGAAAAGGATGGGGCGCATAAGGATCTGCCTTCCCAAGGAGGCTGGGTGGAGGTGACCCCCCATCTGCTTATGGCTCTTTCTTCTTCCTCCTCAGAGCCCAAGAAGCAACCGAGCTCCTGCCAGAAGATTTGCTGCAGGTGAGGGGCGGGCTGGGCCGGCAGACGTGTGCCTGCTTGTGCCTGGGTGTGAGAACCTGCCCCGGTCCTGCCTGCCATTTGCCTTGCCGGCACGTCCAAGTCATGGGGCTGGGATCTGCCCGCGTGTTGGAGGGCATCTCCAGGACCACGGCGTTAAGGGAATGGTGGGCTTCTGCCACAGGAAAGGGTTTCCCCAGCTGTTCACAGAGGGATGAATCCTGACCAGGAGCTGTGCTTCCTTCTCCCTGGACTGGGGATGCTCTGGGCTGCGGTGGGATGCTGGGCAAGCCACCCGTGCCCAGAGCTGGGTGGTGGGGAGATGGCCTCGGGGCACCCACAGTTGGTGAAAGGGCTTCTCCAGTGCCACCTTTCTGTCTCCAGATTGAGCAGAGGATCGAGCCAGCCAAGCGAGCAGCCCACAGCGTGTCCAAGAGGCTCCAAGCCTGCCTGCAGGGGCAATGCGGCTCTGAGATGGACAAGCGAGTGGTGAGTAGAGTCCTTCCACCGCAGCCCACCCTCACCCCAGCTCTGTCCCCTGCCAGCAAAGGGGATGCCAGGCCTCTGCTTTGCAAACTTTGCTGAAGGGTGGCCCAAAGCTGCGCCCAGCCCAGGTCTCATCTCCAGCAGTGGTGACCAACACGTGCCTAGGGAGAGCAGATCAGAGCAACCCTCTCAACCATCACTTGAGACACTCCTGAAACAGAAACGGTGTCTTTGCATTGAATAACCCTCCAAAGCCCATGTTTTCCATGTCCCTTCCCAAAACCCTGTGAACCCCTGCAGTGAGGAGCATGACAGCACAGCCGGGCACAGTGGTGCCATCACTTCCATCTCCTCGGTTTGAATCTGCCAACCTCTTCCCAGCAGGTGTTCACCAGCCCTCGCCTGGGAAACAAACAGTGGATCCCCCAGCACTTTTCTTGATTTTGTGGGCTCCACTCTCCTTGGCAACCTGACAAGCCCCAGCCTGGCTTAATTATTCTTAGTGATTAAACTGCTCCATACATTTGAAGCCATGGCAGAGGTGGGCTTGGTGAGGACCTCCATCAGTGTCACGGTCCTCCACAGGGGACTATTTGAGAGAAGGCTGGAGGTTTTCTAACCAACTATGGAGCCTCGATGCTTTGTTTAGCTAACTGGATTCTGGCTTTGGCTGAAGGGTCAACAGAGCTGGGTGGGCCAGGGGAAGATGTGGGGACCCAGTGCAGGGTTTGGCCACTTGCTCCCATGTCATGGTGGCATGCTTCATGGGAAAGGAGCTGCCACACACCAGCTCACCATGCCTTTCCTGAATCCTTGGCTCTGTGCAGAAGAAGCTGCCCTTGATGGCTCTATCCACGACAATGGCTGAGAGCTTCAAGGAACTGGACACAGAGTCCAGCCTCGGGTAAGTGCCGGTGGGACAAACTGCCGAGGGTGACCTCAAAAGATGCCAGACCCTGGCAGAGCCATGGTCTTGGCTTGGGGGCTCCCACAGCCAAGCTGAGCTGTCAAACCCTGTCCTCAGAGCAAACACTGGTGTGGGAGTAGGAGAGGGGACAACCAGCACCTTCAGCCTCCAATCGCAGAGGGGGCTGGGGGCTGGCTCGAGATGTCACGTGGGTACAGGTATGGTGGGGGGTGTTGAGAGTGGCCTGGCTCCAGCCCACAGTCATTTCATCTCTGCCCTCATGCAGGAAAGCCCTGGAGATGGGCTGCTGCATACAGAGCTCGCTGGCCAAAATCCTGGCTGAGTTTGAGATCGCTCTGGAGCATGACGTCCTGCAGCCGCTCAACAAACTCAGTGAGGTAGCCCTGGCTTCCCTCCCGGCTCCTGTCTCCCATCCCACCCCCCCTTCCCATGTCCCCAAGCCTCCCCGACTCACTCTGGCCCCTCCCTCCCCCAGGAGGAACTTCCCATCATCCTGAAGCGCAAGAAGACCCTCCAGAAGTTGATTTCTGACTGGAACACAATCAAGAGCCGGTATGGGGCACACTGCGGCTGGGGGGACAGGGCATACAGGGCACAGCCCCCAGCCAAGCTGGGGAAGAGAAGAAGATGACGGCCCTGGGGAGCAAATGTCCAAGGGCTGGGAGCGAAGTTGAAGGGGCAACAGCTCTTCAGGACCACCTAGCCAGCCAGCCCCTCTCTGCAAGGGCATCCCGCTCTGGGCTGAGCTGCTGGCTCCATGGTACAGCAGAGAAGGGCAACACCATTGCCAAAGGCAGCAAAGTGCCTCAGTGCTGTCTGATGCCACCAGGATTGCCCCACTCTGACTCTTGTGGGGTAGCCCGTGCCGTGCTGGGTTTCTCTGGAAAAGCGGGGCAGCCGTGGGTCACTGATGGCTTGTTTCCACGCTGTCCTCCCCTTGGCTGTGGGTTGGACTAGATGACCTTTAAAGGTCCCTTCCAACCCAAACTATTCAACGGTTCTGTGACATCTCAGGAACAGGGCTTGGGAAGGGTCCTGAAACCAGGTGTTTCAGTCAGCTTTGCTGAGTGCCCCCCCAACTTGACCAGGTCATACCCCTTGGTATGGCAGCATCTTCTGGGTGAGGGAAGTGAGAGGCACTGGCCTAGGAACGCTACTACAGGGCAGTACCGGGACTTGCTGTCCCCCTCGTGATCCCCATACCCCTTCTGCACACCCATCCCACCCCATGTCCCTGGCATTGAGGCCTGGATGTGCCTCTTCTCTCCTACCCCAAAGGCTGAACCAAGCTGCCAAGAGCTCCAGTAACAGCGCTGGCACTGGCGCTGGCCCGGGGGCATCTTCTGCTGCCAACAAACTGGAGATCTTGAAGGAAGAGGAGGAGGAGGTGAAGAGGAAGGTGGAGCAGTGCAAGGTGAGAACGTCACTCGCTCTTCTCCACGGGGCAGCCCCAGGGCTGCAGACCTGCTCCCCGCCATGCCCCAAGCCCAAGGAAGAAGAGTAGTAAAGGATTCAAAGCACAAGCTGCTACAGAGAGGAGGCTCCAGAGGCTCGAGCAGGGGGGGTATGGAGGCCCCATGGGCTGCGCG